TATTGAAGTGTTACACATAGGGAAAACAACGAAACGCTCCATACAGCCAACCCATTTGCAGGATTTGAACATTTTAACTTCGAATTGCCAGTTTTAACGTTCTTACCACTAGATCACTAGGTGCCCCCATAGTCCAAAATAAATATGTTATTTTCTGGTTGTCTGAATTCCTCCCCTTCAGTTTTAACAGTCGATATAATTCCCGTATTTTCGCGCCTTTCCGAGTACACATGCGACAACAGCTTAGTCTGTGCGTATCATACACATGTTTGAGTACACGCGTGATATACTTAGTTGTTAATTCGCTTAACAGCATCCACGGCTAGAGGCTTTATAGCTTGTTGTTCTTTCTCGTAATATTTTTTTTTGTGTCATAAAATGTTTCTTTTTATTGTTATTTATGAAAGGAACTGTACTTATGAATTTGTAAAGACAGCTAAACAAACGCTTCTCGCCTATTCACCGAAGTCACCAGTACTCATTGGTGACGTTTTATTGGCGTGAAGATAATCATAAATTAGCCGTAAATACCTTTTTTTACACGAACGATGTGCCACCGCTCAACAAAGTTACAAGCATGTCGGTTAGATCCCTGCTATTGGATACAGCGTCTCAATTTTGGGAAAAAAAAAAAAAAATCCTTGAACGCATCTCAGGGTCTTCTACTAACTATTACTAACCTATCGAGAAGTTTTTAGGCTTAACAGTATTTTAAGTGCTTCCATGTGGATTCGAGGCTCTGCCCAAAGACTATAGTCGGTTCTCTTCCGCTTTGCCAACAGGGTGGTCTAAAGGAAACACTACCTTAACAGGAAACGTATTATATTTGTCACTTCAATCTTTGCTTATTATTTTATTAATGTCATCAACAGGCAATTTATTATTATGAGCGCCACTAACAGATAGATATTTCTTTTATAATTTTTAGCACAATCACTGAAAGCACTAAAAAGGCGTAGTCCGCTAATAATCTGATATGGTGGATCTGTGGTGTTCAGTAATTTAAAATACTTGTTCAACAAATAGTGGATCAGTTACAATCACGCAACATTATGTAGTATTATTAGTATGGTTAAGTAATATCAGTTTGAGAGCAATAGTATAAATTACTGTTATACAGAACTATTTAATGCATATTTTTTTGAAGAATTTCATAAACTTCTGCACTTTCTCGTATAGAGCGAGTCTTTTTAAAATTATTGTACACCATTTCACTACACTTGAAGCTGGTGGAACTTGAATGGGAAAGAGCACACGAAAATATAATAATCCAAGTCTCCTTCATCTGTACAGATCATTCATTATCTCTCAAGCCAAACCCGCCTAGTAGGCAGGGATAGAGCTATACGTTTTTAAAAATCATCTCAGGTACTGTGTACTTCTGAGGGATGCTTCGCAGACTTTCGAAATTAAGGGAATTTACTAATTACCACTTCTGCATGTCATTGGTTCCTGATTGTCTCTTTAATGGAACTCTTGAGATGGGGAGCGGGAAAAATACTTAACTCACTAGGTAAGAGACAATTTATATAGCCTTTTTTAACCACACCAATGATAAATATCCACTAGTATATAGTTTTTCTCAACAGGTGTTAAGTTAGAATACAGTGCCACATATTGAATACAAATAGAAATTCTCACTCGGTCATCTGGATTCGGCTAAGCAACATGCCATGTACTAGTACTGAATGTAGTAATTACCGTTAATAAAGTATTGGTTCTCTTTTTATACAGTTCATTCATTAACTTAGAATTATAGAAACGTAGTACAACAGGTATTTTAAATAGTTAGTTGTCAAAAACAAGGTTTCTGAAATTTATTTCACTAAAGATGACTTGGATTTAGTGCCGGCTATTGAATTTAAACTTAAGAGCTGTCCAACAAAAAATACTTGGTTCGTGAAATTTGAATACACGATGAAAGGCTAATTTAACAAATAATAATATATAAAATGTTACAGCAAAAAATGTATTTTCTAATGATGTTATACAGCGTCCTTATCGAGGGACTTACAGAATAATAATTTATCCAGTTTTAGTTGACTTTTAATTCAGATACAAATATCCGCTAATAAAAATATGGGATCTAAAATACTTTCAGTGATTGTAACAGCAGTGATGAAGCAACTCATATTGAAGATAAGTAAGAAATTGAGTATAGAAAATTAATAAATCTCTTTCATTTACTATTACATCGCAATTTTTGAATACTGCATAAATTTTTAAATTAAAGTTTCATCGCTGTTGTACCTTTTATTTTGTTATATATGTATATTGAAGTTTGCCTTTAAGGCATCACGATGTTATGGATGTTATGGGGGGATTACGGCTCGTTTGCATTGAGATAAGGACCCAACTCTTTAGTTACAAGAAGTTTCTAGGTTTTGAATGAAAAGAGTAACAACGTAATGCTCCGTATCTAATAACAGAAGTTTAAAATTGTATTATTAGGTACTGTGTACCTAATAATCGAGGTATTGTATCTAATAATAATCTTAGTGTATGTAATTAACGCAATGGTATATATATAAGTGTGCATAACAATAAAAATGTTTATAGCAACTGAGATTGATATCAGTATGAATTGCATAAAAGTATGGATAGTAATTTAGTGCCCCGGTCTAGCGAAGTTTTATCTATAATAAGCAAAATTAAAGGCTAAGGTGCAATGCTTTCGTTTCTATTGAGTTAGCATATGAAAGAAACAGTACCATTGTTCATTCATTTTTAAAAACCTTTAAGGGGTGTTGGAACCCCCAAATCTTCAAAAAATTGTGATTTCGGATTTTTGCATTTTCAAATTCTCTACACTTTTATCTTTCTAAAAATACCATTCTTTAATCTCTATGAAAGTTGGAACTGTAAAAAAAAATCTAGTTTTAATTTGTCATCTACTGGTTTGATCAATGATAATTTTTACATAAAAACGCGTTTTTCTCAAACGTGATTTTTTTATACTCGATGTACCTTTTCTCAGGAACTACTGCTCACAGATATCTTAACTTTTTATGGCTTATTTATTAGGTTCCCTAATATTAACTGAAATGAGCTTTTTGTAATAAATTTAGAAAAAAAAAAAAAATTAAAATTTTTTTCTGTGAGAAAAGTGCTAAATGTTACTATGCCTAACAAAATATTCTGTAATTTACTCTAAAATTCAAAATGCTTCAAAAGCTCATTTCAGTATAATCAGATAGGTATACTTTAATTACAGAAAAAATTTCAAGCTTTTATCTACAGCAGACTTTGAGAAAAGGTACATCGAAAATGGTCAATTTAACATTGTCGGTATAGGGGTTTCTGATACCCCTTAAATATATTAAATATATGTTTCGAAAATGAAAGCCATATGTGTATTTTGGGTTTAGTTATCTTTTCATCTGTGCATAAGGATCTTAACCATCATTTAATGATGACTTGAAGCAGAAGCAAAATTAGATTTTAAGAGACGCCTCGCATCAGAAAGATAATGAGGCTAGTGATGATTTGAGTTAAAATCAATTATAGGATGGATTAGGACCATTTATTGTAGAATCTGGAACAGAACAATGCAAATAACTTTCCGAACCATTGAAAATAACTTTCGGAAATAAAAACAAAACGAAATATTTTTGTCACGAAAGGCGATGAAAAACGTTAAGTCTACGAAATAACAAACACTGAAAACTAAACTAATGTTTATGCCTCTGTCGAAAGCTTAGCTAACAGACATCTCAAGCACTAGATCCAGCTATAAACACAAAAGTTTGAATTTCTGCTATAAATTCAGCAAACACTTCTGTTTCTCCATTAAGAACAATTAATTCGAAAAACAAAATACTATTGTTCTACTTTAGAATAAAGTGCAAGGCATGTTAAAAGAACTTTTTTCATAGGATGTGAAAATTGCCTAATCTGACAGTCACCCAAGATTTCAAGTTTCAAAGCAATTTATTCAATTAACTGCTTATGAGGCCAATAACGGACTTCAAAGCGTATACCATATAATGACATAATGAGCAAAGACCGCTTTAGTATTCAGAAGATTACTCTACATGTCAAGAACTCGTGAGATATTATATAAACGGTTTAGACTTTAACGTCTCTCATAGAGGTAAGAAATGATATTCAAATAATGCGGAACAAAATACACTATGCTCTTTGTACCCAAGAAAACCGAATATACATCAAATCTTAAAGCTGACCAACTGCATTTTGTAGTTCTCTTTGCCTTAAAATATAACTCTTTAACTGAACATCTTTTCAATGGACTTGGTTTGGCATATTTAATTATGGCAAAGCACTCAAAGGTTATTTTGCCTAAGGAGAGGGATGCCTTCGTGGAGGATTTTCTAAGAGAAACTTACTCGTATCCACGTTATACATGGAGAAAACGCCCGTTCGAATCCCGGACTGAGCTACCAGTGTTTAGCGACTTTAACCACTGGCCTTTTAGGGACTTAGAAAGTTTTTCAGACATGAATCAGTGAATGCTTGCCTGATCTCGATGGTATGCTTATTGATGTTATTTCAGGTAAAACTCCCTTGAAGGATATTAAAAACAAAGAGAGATGGTACCCGAGTACAAAATTTCCATTTAGATCGATATAATTTGAAGAATTTCCGATAGTTCATTTATGAAGACTATACACGTATCTGTTTGAAAATAGATGTGATGTAGCCTTCTTTAAAGGAACAGAGAATATTAAGAGACTTGTATTACCTGTGTAAAACTTACAGAATTTTGAGGAATTTTACAATAATTGTTGCCGGACTAATATTGTTCGAATGTTGTCAAATATATTCTCCGAGTCCTTACATACTATGCCTTGAATTATTTTTAAATATTGTTTACATAAATTATGTATAATGAAAAATAAGGAGCTATTAAATACATATATTTGAGTAAAATTTGTCACGTAGTATCGTTATTTTGTAAAAGTTTTATGCAAAATTTAATGGAAAAAATTACAAATGAAAATATTAATGATACAGTATATATCTTGTTTGATTTGTTGTAGGTTCGGCTCTGATGGGCGATTTGCTATCTACCTTACCTTCTCGATTTCACTGTGTGGGAACTAGGAATAATTTTACCACATTCAAGCTATTTTCCCGCGTGCATCCGGATAAACCTCGCCCTTTGGCTCCAGATGATCGAGAACTGCTCTATAAGTCTGATTTTGATCCTAATCTACCAACCAAGATTATAATTCATGGATTTGTGGACAATCTTCAAATAAGTGAATGGATGCAGGTGTTTAATTTTATTTATTATTATTAGTTTTCTTCTGTTATTTTATTATCACTATATAGGTTCTTTTAAATAAGAATTACTTCATTGAAATCCTCTGCAATAGTAATGATGAGATACAATCGTCCGAAAATCGCTTAATTTATATTCATATACAAGTAGCTTCTGACTTGGTTCAATGCAAAAAATTTCTGTTTTATGGTGGTGCGAAAACGATACGTATAGAAAATTATATTTCGAATTACGAATTTTGATGTTTTCTTGATCTAAACATATGTGATAGGATACGTGCAGTATCCTTATACTCGTATTAAAGAAAGGTAACTACGCACAAGAATAATATGCATTGACCTGCAATAGAGGAACATATCATGAAAAAAAGTTCCACAATTAAATTGTTTTACAGTTTCTACCAGTATTCAGCGGTTTTAGCGCTCAGCTGCTGGATGAGTTGATAAAACATCTGATAATTATGGTAGAAGTGTCCTACAGTGAAAACTGCGCATTTTTTGAACTGCTGTTCTTAACATGTCATGAGTTATCATGTAGGAGTGCAATTTCATATCTGCTGACCAGTGTATACTGCTTTACGTGCAATATTGGGTACATTTCGCCCAGCTGGTTGCAGTAATTCTCATCATTAACTATTTCACCACATTTGAAGGACCCAACAACTTAACCACACCCAGTTGCATACCACCAAAATTTTCATCTTTCTCTGAGGAAGGTCCCGTTTTGGCTTGTTCTGTAAGATCTTCTCTTGTTGTTAGCGTTTAACCATTCAACGGATCAGCAATAATTACCGTATAAATTCCATTTTACGTCACATGTCACTATTCATGATCAAAAACAGATTAGATGCGTCGCCTGGAAGTTTGCACCTTTGTCATCATCCAGATAGAACAGAAGAAAACACGCGTCAAGCGTATGGCATCAAGCAAAAAGACGCAGCAGCAGAAGTCGCATCAAGTCTCAAGTGCGCTCATGAAGAGCTCATTTATCAAGCTTCTTGGCTTTTCTAAAGTGAATGCAAAATTTCTTTGGCATATCCTTTACAGTTTCGTAAGAGCCAGACCTAGCCTTCGCAATTCGTCGTTGATGATATTACTGTTTAATGCGCATCCTACTTTTTTCAAGTGTCATATCGCCAGATTCAAGTTTTTTAACCTTCGCTATATGGTTAATTCCTTTTTGTGTAGGCTTAAAATAAGGAGCCTTTAAATACATATATTTGAGTAAAATTTGTCACGTAGTATCGTTATTTTGTAAAAGTTTTATGCAAAATTCTTTTGGTGTTCTTTTGATGCTTAGCCTTCGTTGTGTTGTTCTTCTTTCAAAAGGAATTAACCATATGGTAGCATCTTTAATAACCAGCCATATTGTGATTAATGTAGTATTTATTATTTTGTACTGTATAGTATTACACAACTTCTAATTATTAGCATATTCTATTAAATGTATCTTTTATTCTTTTTGACAGAAAATGAAAAATGCTTTTCTGTCTGAAGGCGAATACAACGTTATTATTACCGACTGGAGCTGTGGTAATGAATTTCCCTATACCCAAGCTGTCCAGAGATCGAAGACAGTAGCTGACAAGATGAAAGAACTTATCATTTTTCTTAGAGTAAGAATTTAAGAAATCATATAATTTATCAAATATGATTAAAAATAAGATACTTAAACGCCGTAGTTCCTTTGACTGTAGAATACAATATAACCGATTCATTCAAACTCTAATAATTAAAAATTTTTCAGCTAAATGTTTTGCACACGAAATTTATTAATTTCATAAAAATTGGTATTTTTTCAATAAGTGTGACTTTTTGAATCGAAACATTTGATCAGTCAACATTTTTCGAATGATTCTAAAATTCAGATAGGAAGAGAGACACTTCAGTCGAACATTTACAAGAGACAAAACAGCATCCTTTTATTGGCATAAGTTTTAAATACAATTTTATTTTTAGGGCGATCAGACACAAGTTCCCCTTATTCAGGAGCTAAAACTATTTTCTTCCCTTTATTTTCTTCCATAAAACCGTACTTAAATTATGGAATTCAAAACCTCATTGATAAATGAGGATAAGGTATGAAGATAAGGTATTGGATGAAGATAAAGTATTGTATCTATTATAGTGTTTACTTTAACAACAACAACAAAAGTTCTTCACAATACTTTTGTTGTTGGGCTGAAAAAAAATATATACTCAAAGAAAATATTTTACTAACTTTCATTATCCCCTCTCAGGGAATGTCTAATTAACCATAGGAAGTATCTGTATTGCAAATTTATACAACATTTTTCTAATGCAAGTGAACAATTAAAATTGATTTTCTAATAATTAAGTCTTAATTTTATTTTCATTTTATCTATTTTATACATCGAAAAACATCATTAATTTTTAAAAGTATGTGCCATCTACAGAGAAATCTAGATTTGCTTTATCTGCTTATATATGATATTACTTTATATGATACTTATATATGATAACTACTTATCAGCTATGTCAATACAACATAATACAGTATATTAATATATTTCAAGAGGAAGTTTGAATATTTAAGGCTTTGTGTGAAATGAATTAGTTTGAACTTATAAAAATTACAGCTTAAAATTACCTGAAAACAATATTGTGTTCATTTTGTAAAAACATCATGTTTGATATCAATTAAAAAGAGATATTATTCTAAGCAGTAGAATTAAAGTTTTTTGCTGATCTGTTACCTAACACAGCCCTTGAGAAATTAATATTAGTGAGAAATGCAAAAGATGCAAACTAATTAAACGTTTAATAATTGATAAGAGTTCATAATTTTGTACTCATTTTTAATAAAAAGAATTTAAAAAGCTCTTTAATATTTAGTCCTAAAGAAAGGGGAACTATTTTGCTGTTCATAAAAGAAAATCTCTTTTTAATATAAATTAATGTCAAACTGAAATTTAAATTCTTAGAGAATATTTGAGCTGTCATATATTTACATGTTAGATAATGGTCTCCTGAACATTAAGCGAAGTATTTTTTAAAGCACCATAGTGATAAATTTGCTGAATGATTCTTTAAAATATGAAAGATACGTGAAAAAGCATCAAATTTTCTGTGTTAAAAGAATAACTTATTATCGGAAATGATACGTTAACATGAAGTAATAAGCATAAAATAAGTCACAGTAGAATGCATTAGTATAAATTACAATTGATTCTAAAGACTAGTTAGTCGCTAGTTTGCTGGTGTTTTAGTTTCTAGTGATTGAAAAATAAGTTATTTTATAGAATAGATTGACTTTGATTATTAAAGGTATTACGTCATCGGGCAGTTGTTTTACTTTAATTTTTATTATCAAGGGATACAATAAAATTAATTTAGGAAAGATATTTTGCTTTACTTTTTATTACTAGAGAATAATTATTTTTACTTAAAAATCTTCTGTTTTTAAAAATGATTACTTTACGTTCATATACTTTGAGGACATTTACTCATACTGGAATTAGCTTTCAATATCTGTAATCTCTACATATAATAAAAGAAAGAGTCTGTCTGTGTGTGTGTCTTTCGTTCGCGCTGCGCGTAAGCTAATAGACCCACGGCTACGAAATTTGATACATAGGTGCATCTAGACAAGAGCCAATGCACTTCGAAGCGATTTTTTCTAAATTCGAATTCGATTTTTTTTGTGACGGAATCGCGCCATTTTGAGACATAATGGGCTATAGGAAGGTGAGATTTTACTCTACACACTCCATTTTCACATCGTCATGAAACTTAGGCACTTAGCTATTTTACGAACTTGAAATAAATTTCGTGTTTTAATAAATCGATTAAATACGAATTTATTTAACAAAGTGAGCTTAACACCTTTTCAACGAGATTTTTTCTAAAACAGTTTATTTTTAAAAATGTACAGTTTTTTTTTTCCTTTGATTTTTGGACACGTTAAACTTTCATCCTTGTGACTGCTTTTACAAAAAGAATTTTGGAAAAATGATATTTTGTATTTACAAATTTTTTTAAATGAAGCTTCTGAGTACACTTCTCACATCTTTAAAAATGTGATTTTTACAACAATTTTCCTTTCTTATTGTTGTTGATAGATTTTTGATGAAATCACATCATTTTGAATAGTTTCATTCTTTCAGAAATATGGTTTTGGCAACAATTTTTCATCGTATTTCTTATGTCACTGTTTTTAAGAGATTAGCATATTATATTGTCATTTTTACTTCCTTGTACGAAGTAAAATGGAAGTATTGTAATCGCGAAAAGTTTCAGGCAGCATATTTCACCGAAAATATCCATTTTGACCGCTATCGAATGCAATTTAACGATGTAGCGATTTAACTTCGTAATTTTTAATGCAGATATTTTGAGTTTTTATGTATTTTTGCCTTGCCGCGAAGTGAGAGCTGAATTAATTGAATGAGAAATACTAAATCGTCTGGGAAAAACTGTTTCTTTTCTGTTTTGTTTGCTTAATTTCTTTCCTACATCGTTTTAGCTTTATTATAGTATTTGAATAGAACATGTGGCAACGATAATTCTTCAAATGATATAAATTTTGTGCATTCAGAGTGTCGTTATAGTAAACAAATATAGTGAATTTTAAAGAGTGCATTTATTTTATTGTGGTTTATGCGCTGTCGACGAAGTATATTTAATTCAATCCAATCAATTTAAATGAAATCCAAGAAAAAATGCGTATAATTTAATATTCCGTACAAGGAAGTCATGTGGTGTACACACCAGATTTTTTTATTAGATGTAGAAATTATTTTGCAACAGGGCAATTATTCTTACATGTAGGGAAAGCGTTATCCGGCGAAAATAAAGCAGATATTTTAATGGCCGTCATGTATTAAAACTGAAGGATGAAAATTGAAATTTACGAGAGACGTGAAAATGACGGAAACAGTGACCACTCTTGTTAGAAACGTAAATAAAACTACCTGGTTTGGATGGATAAGAAAGGCTTCAGTAGAAATCTAGTATACCAGCTGAAGTTTATTTCGACAATTTCGCAGGGAAGATAACAAGGAATGGCTGATAGGCATTTCAACAATAAGAACTTGGTTTGGATGGGTAAGAAAAACTACCTGGTTTGGATGGATAAGAAAGGCTTCAGTAGAAATCTAGTATACCAGCTGAAGTTTATTTCGACAATTTCACAGGGAAGATAACAAGGAATGGTTGATAGACATCTCAACAATAAGAAATGTAATATAAAGTACATTAACTCTTCTCTTCTGGTATGAGATGAGTGTTATTTAATATAAAATGCCAAGATTTTCCCTTAATAATAATATTAAGGGCTCGTTCTTTGAGACAGTATGGAAGATTTGACATATTTGTGTGAAAGCATCGCCTATCTACTTAATGTTGCAGAAATAAAGAGTGATATAAGTTTTCATTAAAGGATATGAAATTTAGTCCCTTAAAAATGTTTAAACGGATGAATTAAATAGAGGCATTTCCTCAAAAATCTAGCAAATTCATTCAGTCATTCTAAATCCATTGGAATAATCCAAGTGTTTTTTCGCAACTTTCACCGTAATTGCTTCATTTTTCTTCCTTCTTTCTTATTGCTTTTAATAAATAAATTGATTGTATCATGAATTTGTGCTCAAACAAAGAATAACTAATGCTGATATAGTAGAAGGATGATGAATTGCAATGTGCCAAGTACTTTTAAAAATTTTATTTAATGTTGAAAGGAGATTAAATTTTGTTACCAACAAATTCCATTGACATGATTAAAACTTAAATTTCTGGTATTTAAATATTTCTTTAAACATCATATTAGACAAGTATTTGCTCTAATTTGATCCTAATTGTTTTATGTGTCAAGTATAGAGCTCATAAAATCTTGTGCAATATTTTATAAGCAACAAGAAAAAGTTGACTTACTCTTTTTCTCCCTCTCTCTCTTTTCTTTTTTTAAATTCAGCCAGTGGTAAAAAAAATAGGAACAACTACTCAGTATACAAAATTATTTTATTTCTCTCACAAATACTGTAGATTCATTTAATTGATAAATAAATTTATCTCCAAATGTACATTTTTCAAGATTGCACTGCTCTATTAATATGCGAGACTTTAATAAGAGAAGCTTACGAGACTTTAGAAAGCGAAGTGAGTCAAAATCAGGAGGTCGCAAGCTTTACAGTAACGAAGCTAACCAAAATATGAAAGAATTCATATCCATACCTTTCTGAATGAGAAACTAATACAAATCACACTTATGCACCATAATATTTAATTTCTATTATAATTTCGAAACACACTAAGAAACTGTTCATATTAAATGTGCACACATACTAAGTAAATTAAAAGTTAAAGTTATTTTTTTTATTTCTTTCAGGATTCTGCCGGTGCCGATCCCGCCAATTTCCACCTGATAGGCCACAGTTTGGGCAGTCACATCGCTGGGCTGGTCGGTCACGGGATTCTACATTTAGGGAGGATATCCGGTAAGCCTTCACATCCTTCATTTAATTTATCCGCTTTATGATCATATTTCCATTTTTATCCAAGTACTTTTTTTATTTTTAACGCTCCATGGTACGGACGAAAACTAAGCGGTTTGCTCACGGGGCGATTCTTCTGTCGCAGTTTTTGTAAGATCGTACAAGGATGTCTGTAGGCGTGGAAAACCAGTTCTAGATAAAAAGATCCTCCGTTTAGTGTGTGCTTTAAATCTTAATAGTTATAATTTATAGAGGAAGAAACTGTTAGTATATGCTGTTCTGCAAATGGCTCAATCATGATGCTGTTTTCAAAGTGTTAATTCTGAAGACATATTTCAAAAGAATAACATAACTCTTCACTTTGACTGATTAACTTCTTTTGTATTTCGATTTAATATATGTATATATTAAATTTAATTTATATATATAAGAAATTTAGAACCAAATCCACAAAGACATGAAATGATTAGGATAATTTAATTTTAAAGTAAAAAAGAAATTGAAACTATATATAATATTTTTTCTAATGATGGACCAAAAATTACTAATGAATTTCCGAAATTTTATGAAACGATAGTTTTCACAATGATCGTTGTTGCACGCCTGCAGTCAGATTTAGAAATTTGATTAGTATTAATTTGATTATTATCGCCTCTTTCCATCTAATCCAACAAGCAGAGGAACGGAATGGCTGCGAGAGTGTTGTCGCGTGTTTTTGCATGAGCAAAAAAGGAGATTGTTTTCATTTGAGAGTTCATTACAAAGTTTTCTAAACTTTTTTTTAAATGAGGTTAACTCTCGTTTAAATAAATAACTTATTTAATTGGATTATTTAATTGGAGCCAGAAATATAATTTAAATAATTATAGATGATGTTAAAGTCGTTAATAGTAAAATACCTCAGAATTGATATGTTTTTACCAGCAAACTGGTATCAAATTGGCTATTTCAGCAACATTTTTGGCCTTGTAGAAGTAACTTATCTATGTAGTCGCAGTTTCGTTTATCTGCGATAATATTTGAAGCGTATACTATCCTTGGATACGGAGCACTTCAGTATGAATAATAAATGTGTATTCATTTATTATCAGCATAACGTTGTTTTATATTCACAGAATGAATATGAAATTGAGAATGTTAAATTTCATTTATGTTCAATGCGGCTTTAGGTTTCACCTTAAGTCAGTAAATCTTATAAAGAGACAATACGAATCTTAGTATACATGTCGTGATGAATTTAAAGTTTTGAGATTTATGAATTCAAAAGCATCATATTTTAAAACAATAAGCTTTTGGGTATTTAAGAACATGCTGAAATTTCTTATGACGACCTTATGTGGTCTATCATCACTTGAAAGTGACCAGTTTTCGTAGGAGCTTTAGCAAATGTTATTTATTTAAACCGAATATCTGAAATTCTGGGTATTTATTTTATTGAGGTTTTATTATAACGGATTGCTTTTTAACAATTAAAGGAAAGTACGGTGCTGTTACTTATAAAATTTACAATTTTAGCTTTATTACTTTACATAAAAATATTATTTCTCAAGGTAATATACGAAGTTAAATCTAAATTAATTTTTTTTTTTAAATTAAGAAACAGCGGTATTAAAACTGGCAAGCACAAAAATATATGTGAAAAGTTAAGGTTTGGCTCACACTCTACTAATACCCTCAGGGGGCTCATTCTTGTGAGTACGGGTGTGGCAATCCTGAGGTAGCCTAGCCCTTCAGGGGATCATCTTCTTGATGAGACGGGTGTCACGATCCTGGAGCCCCAGTGATCTATCCTCTTTTCCGTCTCCTCTCCTCTTGGCTGGAACTTTTCGCCTTCCCTTCTCCCTTGTGGTTTCTCTCTACGGAGTTAGGGGCTCGTCACGAGAGGCTGGAACAGACCTTGTTTCTAGTTTTCGAGTGGCGAGAAAACTGCCCACGTGTTTGCCGTGCGTGGAGACCCGTGTCGCTGGAAAGGAGGGTCCTGGTAGTTGAGGGGCGAGGTACTGTCCCCAACACACTGCTTTGGCCTCTGCTTCAGCTAAACGGGAGGCACCTTAGTCGTCCTCACGGGTGTCAATCGGCTGGTCACTAGTCCTTGTGTCAGTGGCTTGGGGTCAAGCTCTCGGGAGTACCTGCTTTCGGGAAAGCCGACTGTGGGGCTTCAGTTTGCGTATAGGTCCGGCTAGCCCTAACACAGGAATCTGTGTTCCCTTGTTGGGCTCCGTGGTGGGCGGGGCTGTCAGACCCGAATCTTTATACTTTCACTATGGCTTCTCATATCTACTTAATTAAAGATTTCAAGGTAACTCCAGTCACTCCTGTCACTCAAGTCACTCCTGTAACTCAACCTAGTTCTGAAACTTCTACTGCTAAACCAGTCACTCAACCTAGTTCTGAAACATCTACTGCTAAACCAGTCACTCAACCTAGTTCTGAAACGTCTACTGCTAAACCAGTCACTCAACCTAGTTCTGAAAAGTCTACTGCAAAAAAATTACGTACAGATGCAAATGAAAAAAAATCATAACAATAGTCCCCGTTTCCTAGTCATCTCTAGTCCTTCTGGCGAAATGCATAAGATGTCTCCTTTCGTAATAAACAAATACATCCAGTCTTGTATTGGTGAGCCGAGAAATATAAAGCGTCTCCGCTCCGGAGACTTGCTTATTGATACAACCTCAGCCACCCAGTCTGCTTCTTTACTTCAGATAACTAAACTTGGGCAAGCGAATGTCACTGTAACACCACATAAGTCACTGAACTATTGTCGTGGTGTAATCTCAGAATTCGACCTTCTGTATGTTTCTGAAGAAGAGATCGCTTCTGAGCTATCCGAACAAAATGTCTGCGGTGTAAGGCGGATCAAGATGCGTAAAGAAGGTAAGTTGATAGACACGAAACACGTGATCCTTACCTTCAACACGCCTGATCTGCCTAAGAATATTAAGGCTGGATGATATCTAAATATTCCTGTAAGAGCTTATATTCCAAACCCTATGCGATGTTTCCAATGCCAGCGTTTCGGCCATTCTAAGACGTCTTGTCGTGGCAGCCTCACATGCGCCCGATGCTCACAGATTGGCCACGATTCTGAATAATTGTACCGCTGCGCCCTTGTGTATAAATTGCAAGGGTGACCACCCAGCATTTTCTCGCCTTGTGCCCAAAATGGAAATCGGAAAAAGAAAGTCCAGACTGCAAAAGTTACTAGGAACATCTCTTATGCCGAAGCCAGAAGATTAGTCCAGAGCACACAGCTTCGACCAAATACATCATACGCCAGTGCTGTTAAAATCATCTCGTACAGTTCGCCACCCAAACATCAATAGGCACACAGACCCTACCAAATAAAACCCAACCGTCTACATCCAACAAGAAAAAGAAAATGCAACCCATATAGTACAAAAGAAAGAAACAGTTATTCAAAGTAAGCCCAAAACTACCTACACAAAAATATCCAATAAAAATAGAAGTCACAGCAATAGCTCTCTTGATGAGATGATTTCTGAATCTGCGGATTCAGACTTTATGGAAGTAGAAGAGGGTCTGGAAGTTCCCAGGCATCTACTTCCACGAAAAACAAAAGAACAGCACAGAAAAAAAAAACCATTCATAATGGCCACCCTCGTGTCATGGAACTGTCGCGGTTTCCACCGAAATTTGCTTGACATCAAATCTATAATAAATGTGTATCATCCTGTGTGCTTAGCAATACAGGAAACAAATCTGAAACCAGAACAACCATGCAAAACTTCGGAGGTTTTCTTTCGTCAGGAAAGGATAACCTTGCAGGTGAGCGTGCCAGTGGAGGTGTAGGTCTCCTCTCCTCACTGGATTATCCCTCAAATGTACTTTCTTTGACGACATCCCTCCAAGTTGTCGCTACTCAAATAAATTTTGATATTGTTGTTTCATTTGTTTCTTTGTATTTGCCTCCAAATGAGCACATTTATCAGCAAGATTTAAATAATCTAATAGAGCAGCTGCCTGAGCCTTTTATCATAATAGGAGATTTTAACGGCCATAGTCCACTCTGGGGTAGTAAAGATACAAATTGCCGAGGAAGACAAATTGAGCAGATGATCGAAGATCATAGCCTTTGTCTCCTAAATAATGGGCAGGATACGTACTTCCATGAGCCTTCAAGGACATTCCACGCTCTCGACCTTGCCATCTGTTCACCATCTCTGTTGCCATTTTGCACTTTTAGTGTCGGAAATGACCTGTACAACAGCGATCATTATCCCATTTTTGTGTCTCTTGCACGAAGAGGAGCAAACCCCGTGTCGAGAGTCCCTCGGTTTATCCTGGACAGGGCAGACTGGGAACTCTTCTCTTCCGTTGCAGAGCTGACAGAGGAAATGGTAGAAGATGTGCATATCGATGACGCTGTTGAAGCTGTTACTAATACTATTATTCAGGCAGCTATGCTTTCGATTCCTAGAACATCAGGAAAAATACTAAAATATTCGAAACCGTGGTGGAATCGCGACTGTCATGAAGCACTGAAAAAACAGAAAAAAGCATGGGGTATTTTTCGTAGATATCCTACTCTGCGAAACCTCATAGCCTTTAAAAGAGCCAAAGCAAATGCACGAAAAGTAAGAAGGCAGAGCCAGAGGGATTCCTGGATTTCATATGTGTCCTCAATAACATCCTCTACGCCTAGTAAGCGGGTTTGGGAAAGAGTTCGAAAAGCATGCGGAATATAAAGACCACTCACTTTCCTTTTTGGAAAAAGATGGCCGAGTGATTAGCTCCATAGAAGAAATTGCAAATACTATTGGTGAGACATTTGCTGCCGTTTCTTCCAGCAGAAACTATTCACCTGCATTTCTTCTCTATCAAGCAGCACTCTGAAATAAATCCCATCGCATTCAACTCTTCCAAATCTGAGCCTTACAATAGAGCATTTACTATGCTGGAATTAAAGAGAGCTTTATTGCAGACACATATAGGTCTTCTCCGGGTCTTGATGGCGTAAATTATGAAATGCTAAAGCATCTGTCCTATAAGTCACTGAATGCCCTTCTCACACTTTACAATAGAGTGTGGAAGGAGCGTAATTATCCCAGTGCATGGAGGAGAGCTGTTGTCATTCCTATTGCTAAGCCAGGGAAAGACCCAAGGAATCCCTCGAACTATCGGCCAATTGCCCTTACCAGTTGTGTTTGCAAACTGTTTGAAAAGATGGTAAACAGCCGCCTAGTCTACTTCTTGGAAAAGAATAATATTATATCGCCTTATCAAAGCGGTTTTCGAAAGGGAGAACAACCGTAGATAACATGCTCCTCTTAGAGACATCCATTCGAAAAGCATTTGTAAGAAGAAGCCACCTTGTCTCGGTATTCTTCGACATTGAGAAAGCTTATGATAAGGCATGGAGATACGGTATACTTCGGGATCTTCACGAGAGTGGCTTGCGCGGCAACCTACCAATTTTCATTCAGAATTTCTTGAACACTAGAACTTTTCAAGTAAGAATTGGCTCTGTTTTTTCGGATGTTTTTGAACAGGAAGAGGGTGTGCCTCAAGGCTGTGTGCTTAGTGTAACCCTGTTTAGTTTAAAAATAAACTCAGTACTAAAAGAACTTCCTTCCACCATCTTGGGATCTCTATATGTTGATGATCTGCAGATTAGCTGTCGAGGAGCAGACATGAGATACGTAGAGAGGCAATTGCAGATGGCTCTGAATAAGATCCAAGAATGGTCAAACAAACAGGGATTTACTTTTTCGAAACAGAAAACTGTGTGCGTGCACTTTTGTAGGAAGCGAGGTCTCCATCCTGAACCTGAGTTATATCTGAATGGTACAATTATTCCAGTTGCGCCCGAAGTAAAATTTTTAGGAGTGACATTCGACCGAAAATTGACTTTCCTTTCTCATGTTTTAAACCTGAGAAAGAAGTGTCTCAAAACACTAAATATTTTAAAAGTGTTGGCGAACACCTCCTGGGGTGCAGAGCGTTGCTCCATGCTTCGCATTTACAGAGCGCTTGTCCGCTCTAAACTGGACTATGGCTCAGTTGTTTATGGATCCGCTCGGCTCATCTGTTTTGTTAAAACTGGATCCTGTTCACCATCAAGGCTCTGCGGATTTGTTCAGGAGCTTTCAGGACTTCTCCTGTCCAGAGCCTGTATGTTGACTGTAACGAACCATCACTTTATCTGAGGCGTGAGCAATTGTCCCTTTTGCAATATTTTAATATCTATCCAACCTGAACATCCCAATAAGCTGTGCTTACTTGATAATGAGTGTAACACATTATTTGAAACACGTCCATCCTGTGTTCCTACCTTTCCTTTAAGAGTTCGCCCTGTCATTGAGGAACTTTCCCTCTCTGATATGCGCCCCCAAGCAGTACAGAATTTTGAAATCCCACCTTGGGAAAATTCACGGATTCAGCTTCTTGATGTTTTCAAACATCACGTGAAGGCAAGCACTAACGAGATCGTTTACAGACAACTCTTCGCTGAGCACAGGCACAAATATAGCAGTTATTATCCGATATACACAGATGGATCAAAGTCAAATGATCATGTCGGGATGGCATTTGTATTTGAAGATTACATAGAGGGCAGATGCCTGCACCATGCTTTCTCAGTCCTAACATCTGAACTAACTGCAATATATTATGGTCTTTTGTACATCTCAAAGCTCTGCCAGAAAAAGTTCATAGTTTATACAGACTCGTATAGTGCTCTTAAATCTTTGGAAGCTTTTCCCAACACTCAAAATCCTGTGGTAGTGGATGTTCTCAAAATTCATATAAACTTAAAGATTCGAGGATATGAAATCCTGTACTGCTGGGTTCCCGGGCATACGGGAATAAAGGGAAACGAGCTTGCAGACATCGCGGCAAAATCTGCTGTTGAACTGTCCAGTCGCCTTATCCCTTTTAGAGACATCTGCTGTGTCATCAAGGGAAGATAAAAAAAAAAAAAAAAAAAAAAAAATGGCAGCAAAATTTGGGATGTTCAGCATCAACAACAAGTTGAGAAATGTAAAGCCTAGAATTGAGCATTGGGATTTTGCTGGAAATCGTAAGGAGGAACGTTCTTTTGACTCGCCTCAGAATTGGTCACACTAGAGTGACACATAACTACCTTTTAAAAGCTGAAAATGAGCCTGTTTGTTTTAATTGTAATGTTTTGTTTATCTGTTCGTCATATTTTAATTGAGTGTCCATGTTTTAATAGTCTTCGCCAGAAATATTTTAATAGCTGTGACTTACCTCTCGACCGTTTAATCGGAAGAGAGGTCAATTGTAATTTATTTTATTATTTAAAAGAGACTGGTTTTTATTACCAAATGTAATTTGTTTTGAAGACTGTGTCTTGAATTTTAATGTGTGCTTTTAACTTGTTTTTATATGACTTCATCCTCTGGATTTGGTACATTTGTCCACTTGTTTTTATTTATTGTATTTAAATTTCATAAATTTGATCATCTCACCTTGTGTTTGGCGCGTCATAATCATCTTTGGTTTTGCGCCAAAAAACCCCACTCACTCACTCACTCACTCTACTAATCTACCATTTGCACTAGCTCCAGCTAAACCATTTTTTTTTTGTCTTTTTAGCTTTATTATTAAGCATATGTATTTAGAATTCTTGATGAAATGTTGGCACGTATTGTTTTCTATTTTGTTTTTCAATCTTTTTCTGTTCATCATATCAAAGCTCAATTTGCATAGTAAGATGGCTTACAATTTTTTTTTGTATTTTTATCATTAATGCTTTGTGTGTTGACTTTATATATTAAATTTGAAGTTCTTCGCACATGCGACGCATAAAACTCAATTAAAAAGCAAAATAACAAAGTATTGAAAAGAAAGCATATCTTTAGGACTTACGATAGGTAGACTCGCGCGCTGGAGGTAAAAATGTTTTATTCTGTTTACACTGTTGAAATTGCTCGCTTTCAAATCGTTGAGTTTATTAATCAAAAATTCCTTAAAAATTTACAAAATATCAAATAAATAATAAAAAAAACTGAAAGGTTTCAGATTTTAAATTATGTCCAAAGGGGGCGTTTTTTTACGTTTTGTGTGGTACCTTCATTTATTAAATATCAAGTTCTTTGCACTTAATCCATAAAAGTTCAGTTCAATATCAATATCGCAAAATAATTTTAAAATGAGCTTATCTTTAGCTACCGATACACAGTTCCGCGCGCTGGAGATAAAAGGTCCCCCCCCCCGTAGAGTGTTGCCATGGCTTGCTTTGAAATCCTTGAGTTTGTTTATCAAAAATTCGTTAAAGTTTTACAAAATATGAAATGGATAATAAAAAAAATTCCAAATTTGGTCTTCTACATGCCCATATTCGCAGTAGGATTACGTCATTCAAAATTCGATGGCTCCTTGTACCGTTGTTTTAGCACAATGCAAGAAATATACATACATTTATGCAGATTTTTCATTATTTAATTTCTTCAAATATAATGCAGGACTCTAACATTTGGTGGCAACAGTTTGAAAAGTGAAACGGACATTTATAGTGATTCAACGCAAAATCGCAAAGCGAAAACAATAGTCCTTCAGGGGCAAAACCCTTTTGGACTAAAAAAGTAATGCTATTCTAAAAAAATATTGAATATTTTCAATTAGATGATGATTTAAATTAATTTTTATTATTTAAATTAATCTGATTCAAAAGTAAAAGACGAATAATCTTAAGATTGGCATCTATTGCTTTCAAATAGCTTAGTTTGTTAATCCACAACAGATAGGCTCGGTATGAAAGATAAATATCTTACATTTTGTAAAATGAATATAGACTCGAATGAAAAATGAAACTATGCATTTATGGTAATTCCATGGAAATTCTCATTTCGACGCTGATAGCCCTTTTGGGCTGATTAGGTTTAAGTGTACTGTAATAAAGTTGATATGTAAAGTAAAATAGCGTTTGGACAATGTATAATGCCATCTTTTATTAAGTCTAATATAAAATTTGCGAGAAGTAAAAAAAAATGGTAATTCTCGTAGAACACCTCAAAAGAGTAGTTAAAAGTTTAAAATTCTGAATGTAAAAGTAAGATTCAAGTTAAAAAAAGAATAAAATGAAGAGATTTAAAAAATATGGTTATGTATGGGTAACCTTAAACCGTAGCTGGAGGTGAATTGATCCAATAACTGATTAGTATTACTTTTGAATTTTCGTTAGTATTGTATGTGAATCTTTTTTTTTTTCTTTTAATTGTAGCCCTAGACCCTGCCGGACCCAGATTCTATGATGCTCCTTTAGCCGAGAGGCTAGATCCTACTGACGCACAGTTTGTTGACGTCATACACACGGATGGAGGGCGTGGTCTTTTAGAAGGTATGGAAACTTCTTAGTGAATCTTTGAAAATGTTGAATGATCTTTGAAGATTGATTACTATGGTTTTAGAAAATGAATGGAAATATCTCAAGTGCTCATTGATTTTTCTGTAGAAAGATCGAATTAAAGACTCTTAACAGCAATTCATATTTTAATTCGCAAAATGCCTCTAACCAGATTTTTCTAAAGTATGAATGTTCTTGTTGAAATGAAACCACAAGGAATGAGATTTGATTTGTATTATAGTCTACGTTTAGTTACCGCCGCAAGTGAACAGTGTTTTATAATGTACGAAGTCCGTGCTTTTCTGTTAAATTAGTTTGATTTAATAAAGGGTTATTTTGTGCCCTTCTTCTGTGCTGATATTTAATTCACGCCTGTGCGAGAATTTGCCAGGTTCATTATAGGATCTAAGTTGGTGTATGTGGAAAAGTAGAGATAGGTCTTACAAATGAACTCCGACAAAAGCTGATCAACTGCTACTGAACTCTAAAGAGGGGTTTATCAGAAGGAAAATGACAAAATGAACTAAAATTCCATTAAATTGATTTTAATTATTTATTTACTATATTGATTTATTGCTAATTATAATGGATTGGAATATTTGAACATGAATTAGCTAAATAGTTAAGAAAAATATTATGATTGCGAGAATAGAAAGTACCGACACAATAAACGACTCCCGACGGGATTGGGGGCTTACGTATTAAAACAACCTCATCTCAGTAGAAGTGGCCAAGTTTTCAGAATGTGCCAAACTCTGGCAACCGTGAGCACAGTCTACCAGCTACCGTCCTCGTAACAATACTTCAGGTAAGTAAAGCCTCCATTTTCGTATGAATTTTTTTTTTTTTTTTTGTTGTTGTTTATATTCCAAATTACAATAGTTTTTTAAACAAATCGTGATATTTTTTTGGCCTTAAACTTAGTTTTAAAATATGAGTTTCTGGAATTTGCTAGCACTGGAAGAAACTGCGGTAAAATTTCTGCAAGAATACATAATTTTGCTGAAAATGTTTTAAAAGGAACAACATGGAGGAAATGCGTTTCCTCGATAGCCGCTGTTGCCGACGATTGCATGAAGCCATGTCTCCGCAATTCTGTGATACTTTTAAGCGAAAACAGATCGCCGGTTCTTCGGAAGAAGAATAGCGCAAAAAATAAAAATTACAAAATGATTTGAAGAAGAATGTAAATTTTTTAGTTTTAATGTATTACGTAATCTGTATTTAATAATTCAAATTTGTATTTTAAAATGTTAAAGTATGTTTTATTTTGATATGTTGATAATGACAGACTAATAATAAATATCGATATTTTGAAAATCATTTTTTAAAAAAGAAACACTAACATCACCATCTTGCACTCAATAAGTAACTTTTACCTTTCCATCAGTAAAAAATCGTCAAACTGCTCCAAGGTGGTTGCATTAACACGTAAGTACCGGTGTTTCTAATACCACATATTTCGTTCCTGGATAAATGTTTTTTAATGATATACAGGAATTCGAAGCTATATGATAACTGGAATTTTAAAACATCAAAATATATCGTATGTAATGGATATATCCGACATTCACAATGAATGGATTATTTAGCTATATGCAATCGATGGAATTTCGAACTCAGCAACAAGCGCATTTTTCATATCAACGTATTTTTAAATCACTACTACTATTCTTCTGTCTCTCAAGAATTTCGAATTTCTCCTATTTTCTAATGCCTAACATTTTTTTTTTTTTTTGCTGCAATGATAGCTACAATTTGATGAAAATCATGTACCGGTCTCTGAGAAAAATTATTTAGGGGTATTAATCAATAGTTAAGAGCTCTTGTTTCCTTCTTACACTAGATAATTCACAGAAAAAAATATACTAGAATGAGTGTCTAACTCCTGAAGAAGAGCTTTTGCACATATTAACCCTTTCACGGGAGCTATAGAGACTATTATTTAATGTATTGAAGCCAACTAGCCAACTATTCAATGATTAACTCTAAGTTTATGGATATTTTTGCATACCTATGTAAGGCACATTGTCACAAAATCCGTATTTAAATAAATAAAATAAAATAAAATTTAAAAAAAAACTGAAAGGGTTGATTTTAAATTACGTCCAAAGGGGCGTTTTTTTTTAACATTTTGTGTGTTACCTTTATTTATTAAATATTATGTTCTACGTACTCAAACCATAAAATGCAGTTCAACAGCAATATCGCAAAATAATTTTAAAATGAGCCTATCTTTAGAATTTCCTATAAGGAGTGGAAGTCCTCTCGCACTGGAAATAAAAATGTTTCTCCCCCGTGCAGTATTGCCATTGTTCGCTTGGAAATCGTTTAGTTTCTTAATAAAAAATTCGTTGAATTGTTACAAAATATGAAATCGATAATTAAAAAAAAATCAAATTAGGGCTTCCACATGACCATATTCTATGGAAGATTATGTTATTCAAATTTTGATGGCTCTAGGTATCGTTGTTTTATCACAATACGAGAAACATACATACATTCTTGCAGATTCTTCATTATTTAATTCTTTAAATATAATTCAGGTCGATAATATTTGGTGGCAACAATTTGAAAAGTGAAACAACAGTTATCGTGAATCGACGCAAAATGCCAAAACGAAATTAATAGTCCTTTTGGGCAAATTACCGCGTTGGGCTAAAAAAATTAATTTAATTTTAAAACACTTACAGTCTTAACACTAGAGAACTACGGCTAACCGTCAGTTTGATGAATTTGTAGTTTTTATCGGTAAAAAATTTACGGTAGTTTTATTGTTAAGAGACTTACAAGAACAATCTTCCCTAATACTAACTATTCTCTTTGGCCGGTTCAGTATCTTCTCTTGAGTTTACTCATGATGACTAAAAAATATATTTCATCAGAATAAAGTAAAACTATCCTCTAATTTTATATTGATATTGCTTAATACTCATAATATTCGAACACTTTCTTCTGGATCGTCTCTGCTTGCACTAACTGAAACCTTTTCTAAAATGTCTTGAGCATAAAGACTGCAGATCGTTCCTTAGTCTTGAGCTTAATGCTTTATATTTACGCAGTGAGAGGTAAACACGCTGAAAACTGGTAGTTCGGTCCGAGGTTCAAATCCCGCGAACGGTCTGGCAGCATGGGCGTTTTCGTGGTTTTCCCCATGTGTAACGTGTATACGAGCCAGTTCCCTTAGAAAGTCTTCTTCGAAGGCCTTTCTTCCTTTAGGGAAATAGCTCTCGTGTGCTTTTCCATAATTGAATAATCCAATCCAATCCTATATTTACGCATTAGGGCAAGTACGATTGACAGGTAATAATCGCACACGATCTATCTCTTGCCCTAGCGAACCGCAGTGCGTTGATATTGGGTTCGAAGTTATCGAAAGATATATCTGTTGAATTAGGATTTGTATTTAGTATCTACATTTTACTGTTTTTATATTTATACCCAGGAAAATTATTTCATAGAAAACTGGTTTATCACGATTAACTACGAAACTAGCATACTGTCATTTCGACGGATATCAGTAGGCATTATCATACATAATATTACACATGACAGTATACCCGTAAGTATACGTCATGCATCGTATAGAATGGATAATTATCAGCGTAAATTAGGAAACTATAAAAATAACGGGTTTTGTAATTTTGGCTCATGAAACTCGAAATCCGTCAAAATGACAGATCACATAAATTTAGTGTTAAGGAACAGAAAAACAAATCGACAGGGTCTGCCATTTACTCGTCCGCATTAAGTAGCAAATTTTAAGCCTCTCTGTTAAATTAAATTTCTTTGAGCCTTATTTAATGCAGTTGAACGCGTGGGAAATGCGTGGCAACGATTTATTTCAAGAATAATTTAAATTATATAATTTTTCAATAGACTTTTCTGAAGAGATTAATTTCTCTTTATTGAGACATTTCTTGATCATCTGATCAACGGCTTTAACATGTGCTAAATGTATTTAGCATATGTTAACGCTATTCATGGTTAACTTTAACATGTGCTAATTTTGGCTGATTCTTACTTTAAGTAAAATATTTTTCAAATCTGTTGGTAACAATGTTGAATACGAAGAACAGAAACACGGTAACATAAAGGAATTCTACTCATTTGCATTAAGGAATTTAGATATTGTTACGAATTTGGTATCTAAAAAGCTAATGTTAGTTCAATTATAAATTAAATGGTTTTATTTCTCGCGTAGTGCAGCGCGTGACGAATATTAAAAGAAAGCTAAGCCGGAAAATTGAAAATACAAGAGCGCGTGCATTAAATAAATAAATATCTCTTTTTGATTTCGAGAAAGTACTGGAAAATTCTAGTGCGTGATTTTAAAATCTTATAAAAGGAGGAAAACATCTCAGTTTGTAGTAGTTGCTTAGTTTGTTGTTGTTTAGAAAACTGCTCTTGTTGATTGTAACTATTTCGCGGATTAGCGTTCTTTAGCTGTTTTGAATTACGTTCTATTGGACATTTGAGTAGTTAAAAGATAACTACTGTGAGATATTGTAATACTGCATGATAATTTGAGAAAATTTAAGCATTTTTGTTGTGATAATAATAAATTTTTGTTCATTTTTCATCGGACTTGTGCATTCATTTCATAACGAACCCGTACGCACGCAACAATATGATGAAATTTATAAATGCCAATAAAACAACACTGGAAATTTTGGTCTAATATTTTTAACTATATTTTTGTTTTATGTTTTAGTTTTTTGCTTTAATCTTTCAACTATATTTTTCTTTGTGTTGGGTGCGTTGCGTTACTATGAGGCCGATTATTATCGGCCGGGTGGGTTGCAGTTCACTCGTGTGTTACATTACGTAGAACAGCATTGGAGCTGCCATTGCCCTCAACTCTTTGTATCATGTCAATGGCCATGTATCCCAAATAATTAGTAGGTGAGTAGTGCAACGTAGTCTTGTAAGGGGTTATAATAAACACTAATTGGTAAATGATATTCTTGTGACTACTATTTGATACAGAAGAGGATACTAAAAAGCAGTTGTTCGCTGTAATAAATGACACTGCTTCAACTCTTCTGCATCCTGTAAATCATTTATAAAACAGAAATTGCTAAGTGGAAACTTTCTTAACCATCATTCCTCAAATAGTTAACAAAAAAGTTCTGCTAGACTTGAATTCTCAATTTTCGGAAAGCAATTTATACTCATCTTTATATCTTGAAATAAATAACAGAGAAAAGACTTTGTTTGATTGTAGAGACATTAGGTATTTTTTGAAAGCGGGAGACATGAAAAATGAGCAATGCCCTCGCCGGGACTTGAACTATGGACCTCTCGAATACGCGTCGAGCGTGCTGACAACTACATCAGGGAAGGCATGCTAATAAGGCTGGAGAAATATCTTATATACTCCCACTTTTAAAGGTTGACTGGGGATTAGGGGAGCCAATCTCGCCAAATCCTGGTGGTGGAGAATCATCATCCACCAGCCTTTTTAGTTCGAACGCCACTATAGAGACATTAGGTTATTTGGAAGCAGTAGACAAGAAAAATGAGCAATGCCCTCGCCGGGAATCGAACCACGGACCTCACGAATACGCGTCCAGCGTGCTGACCTCTACACCACGAAGACATGCTAATAAGGCGGAAGAAATACCTTATAAGATAAGCAGTTAAAAAGTTGTAGAAACCGGTAACGAGATACGGCAGTGCAGCACTATTTTGTCACTTGCCAAATTTCCCAAAATGCACTTTTATGATTTCATAACAAATCTATTCACGCAATGAAAAACATAAAATAAATTAAGGCATAATCTTTAAACTATGACATCAGGAATTCTTAAAATCGAAAATCGTATGGTAGTAAAATCTGAAAACATATTCGGAAAATCGAACCATAGTCTCATAATGCAGTCGTATTCTGTGGATAAAACAGTACACACTTAATTGTGATAATAAATCTGATAAGTGTAGAATGACTGAGTAGCTTTAATAAAGACAGAAAATTATAAAAACCGCAATCTATTTTACACCAGCTAAATTTAGCAAATTGAATCAGATTACAAGTTTCATAATTATAAAGAACTATAACTGATTTACAAAACACAAATTCAGAAGGAATTTCAAACTAACCCGGGTGCATTTTTGAACATGAGCAATATATAAACCATATTTATACCAAGAGTACAGAATTATAGTATGATTATCTGTAATAATAACATTTTTAGAAAAGCTTGAGAGAACTACAGAAAAATAAACATTCGTATAAATTATTTTCTTTTAGTAAAGCTTTCTTATTAATTTCTTTTAGTAAAACTTTATTATTTCTTTTAGTAAAATTTTATTATTTATTTCATTTATTAAAACTTTATTATTTCTTTCTTTTAGCGAAACTTTTAGTAAAAGTTTAGCTTTAGTATCTTTCATTTATATTTTAACTGTAGTATGGTTTCATGATATGTATACTTTTAGGTTTGGGAATGAGATCTCAAGTAGGTCACGTTGATTTTTATCCGAATGGTGGCAGAAATCAGCCTGGATGCCACAATTCTCCATTTACTATCCTGCCAAGGATTGGACTGCATAGAGGTTGGTAATAGAACTATATATTAATCGAAGCATAAGTTGTGAAACAATTTCTCGTAAAACAGAGCTATTAAAAATTATAAGGGAAAATAACCTTAAAATGGTGGTAATAGATTAAAATTACTTTATAAGGCGGTTATCATAAAAATAAGTTAAATCTTCCACCTTAAGGTATTATTGCCCGCGGATCTTTTGGGCTTACTGAAAATATGATTATTAGTTAACAAATTACACGACTGTAAATTACGAGACTGTCCGTTTGGATGTTTGTACCGTTTGGATGTTTGTATAAAGAGGAGAGTACAGAGAATTCATCTTCACAGAATCATATCCATTCTTTTCCATTGTCATCAGAACAAACAGGCAGCTTCGGGAACTCCTTCAATAAGTTTATTAATGGATCGCTCCTCTCTTTTCTGCCTTCGTAACTCTCTGGCAGTTTGTGTCAGGCAGTGTCTGTGTTTTATTTGTACAATATTACATTATTGTACAAATTGTATTACCTTTGCATTCGAGAGGTGACTCTCGGTCACCACTTGATTTAATGAGATAACTCGAGAGGTGATTGTCGATCAGTACTCGGTTTAATGCAATAATTCAGACGGTAATGACATTTATTTGGTTTGTTTTGGGCAATATCGCTCCATTGACTCAATTCAACGATACATGCATATAAAATAACTGCAAATCATTAATGTTAAATAGGTTTTTTAGATTTATTGTTATATGCGTCTTCCACGTTAGTTCGAACTCGACATTCGTGGTAATAGGAATATTATTTTCAAAGTTACGGATTTCAATAAGCATGGAATATGACTAAGAAATCACTTTAATTGAAAATGAATTCTATTTTTCGCTGATGAAAAATAAAATTACGTATGTGCATAGACTACTTGACGACAGAGAGAAGGAAAGCAGTGATGAAGATAGCGATGATCAAATTTTCAACTGAGGAAAAAAACCCGATTGCCATTTAAATATATTCCTAAACAAAACCATTATGTTTAGGGCAAAAAATCGTAACAGAAGGTATTTACGTTTTGAAAAGTACGACTAAAAGTAAACAAAATCTGTATAATCTGCGTAAGACTTGCATCACACTGTAAATTAATTAAATCCATTTTATAGATTTCTTGTTGGTTATTCATTTTCGTTTTTAATGAAAATAATAAACTCTGACTTCAAGTAACTACTTGAAATCTTTGCAGCATCGTACCTGCAACAAACACATAGTTGAAATGTCTTCACGGGCCGCATCAAATTGCTTTGGTATCGCATGCGAACGACTGGTTTAAACAGAAAGTTAAGAACTATGTTAAATATTTAATAGCTAATGTGAATGCTACTTTAAAGAAGTTGGAAATATTGAATTAAAAAAATTGTTGTTTAATGCATTACGTGAATTAAAAAAAATTATGAAACTCCGATTGTTTAAAATACTTTTATTCTCAAAATGAAAATTTTTTTTAGTTTATTACGTATTATTACCAAAATTTATATAATTATAATACAGTGAAACTTCGGTCGTTCCCGAAGGCTGTTCATTATCTGAAATGGTCGTACACCGAAAACATTTTTGCTATAAGTATTTATTGTAAAACATATTAATCCGTTTCTAGATCTCAAGTTAATTGCTTACTTAAAATTGTACTTTAAGCACAATTTCATACCGTGCAGATGCTGTTCGCACATTTTTTATACGATTTTCATTTCAATTACAGAAATATTTTACTTAAACTTTTTATGTTTTAAATGTTCCATTTGATAACCCTTATTCATTACTATCTTTATACACCGTAATTTCCGAGACAATAAAGCCTTTTGTAATATCGGAAGAGGTATTTTATCCCATCGTCCACGAACAGCTTTCCAAAGGCTAAGGATTACCGGCTTTTCAAAAGTCCACGGTATGGCCTTTATGGTATGGCATTTAGTCCATGGTATGGCCTTTATATGTGAATGGTATGGCCTTAGTACCGGTTGCTTCTTCCATTTTTTTCCAGGAAATTAACAGTAGATTTTGACGTGTCGCTGCTTGCTTTGTCTTGACGCAGTTCTACTGATTGATCACAGTGTATTTAAAGAGAAAGTATTTCATAATTGGGTGTAAAATATCTTTTTGATAATACGTTGACTTGATCTTAATATTTTCTCCACTTTCTTTATTTTTAATTTTCCGTTATAATGAAAATCCAGCAACAATCATAAATCCCACAGAAAAAACTTTCTTTGGATTCCTTAAATCATGTTTTAACATTTTTCTCCTCTTCGATAACAATAAATGGATCACTTTTCATTGCAGTCATGTACACCCAAGATTCATGTCTTGTGACAACGATTCAAATTAGCGTTAATCACTTGCATTTTAATGATTTTGCAACTATCCTTTTGCTAGGATTTTCTTTTAACATTAAAGATAGGACTTTTGCAATATTCGAAACATTCCATTTTTTCCCTTGGATACGTATTTGGAGCTATTTTTCCACTTGAAGCTAAAGTTTGACGTTTAGCCCTTTGTTAGCTTTAGATATCGTAAAACCATGGCTTTTACAATGCTTTTAATAACGAGATACGAATAATTTTCTTCGGCAAGGTAACGAAGGTAAACGAAGCAATCCATCCACTGCTTCCTTAAAAGCGACAGTTTGCATGAAAATAAAACTATCAAGTAGCAAACAATAACTTATACTCTCAAAAAATGCAGCTGCAGTTAAACATAATTCCAAGCTGAGAATGGTTTTTACAACAAAGCAAAATCGTCTGAATAATGTGCGAACAGCCTCAGCAAAAACAAGAGAAATCCTTAAATCTAAAGCAAAAAAAAAAGGGGGGGCGGTGATGGTCAAAATAATATTAAACGGATAAAATAGACTTGTGTATTAAATAAGTTTATCTTTTCTTCCTTCCTTTTCATCTGAAAACATTTCCGCCACAATCGTCTTTTGCGGCTGTTTTTGAAGTTGTTTCCAGTTCTTTCTTTTTAAGTATATTTTTATTGCCCTCTAATAATAAAAAGTCTTCATTCTTTTGTGCTAATTTTATCGTCCGAAAATCTAGAGGGGAAATTATTCGAATAATTTAATTTCGAAGAATGCGGGTACAGTAAGAATATAACAAATGAAAAGCAGTTATGGGTAAAGTACAGGTAACTATCACAATATTATATTTTTAAAAAAAACTTATATTCCAATAAGCATGTGCTGTAATATTAATATTACAGTATCTAATAACATATCTTCAATTTCTCTGTTACTTGAGCTTCGATCTTCTTTGCTGTCTCTGCTACTTCTTAGACCTCAAAATCATACATAAATAATTAGAGAAGGTTCAGCTGATTCAGCGAAATCCACTTTGAATTTAAGGCAGTTCGTTCTCTAAACCTATTGAAGAAGAGGAAAATTACGTGAATATCGAAAAAAATTCAGGATCTGGCGGTAAAAACCAACGGGGAAAATTACACGAGGAAATACGGTAATACAAAAGTCTTTTCACTGTTAAAGCTTTCAAAATCTTTAGCTGCAATACAATCTGGTTATAATTTCTTCCACGCTGAATTCGTGATCCTCTAAGACATTATTGCTAGAATTTGTTAATGAGAATTAAGCAACAGGACATACTAAAATTATGTTTCTAAAAGTCTCGGGAGTGTTAGTTCTATGTAAATGGTTACTTCAACATTTTCAAAACCATTTGTTTCTGGCATGAGTGTTCGTACTCGAGACACTCTTTGTTATCTAAAGCGTTTCTTCATCAGATAATTTGTTAGTGAGCCGATTTGTTCGTAATGAGAGGTTTTCGTGATCCAAGGTTTCACTGTAACCGAAACAGTAGTTATAAATACATCCATGCCAAAAGAAAACTAGATTGTTACTTGGAATAAGCTAAAAAAATTAAATACATATTTGAGTATTTACATTTTTCTTTCAGCTGCCAGATATTATATAACATGTGATCACTTCCGGTCAACGGACTATTACATTGATAGTATCCGCTCAGCATTGGAATCAAAATCTAGGGACGAATCTGCATGCCAGTCCATTGGTGTCACCTGTCGCAACTGGGAAACTTTCGCCCAGGGAAGGTGTGCTGACTGCTCCCATCCTGATGACTGCTTACCTATGGGTTATCGCAGCGACTTATATATTCAGCGAAATCCCCATCTTTCCAAGAAAGAATATTTTGTGAAAACTGCTGATGAGTCACCTTTCTGCTGTAAGTATATGCCCCAGAGTTAGTAAAACTATAAGATGTTCACTAGGTATTTCTTCCATCCTTATATGAGTGTGGAATTTTTCAATGCATGGTTTTACCAAATTTGGAAAAATAATCCTGCGGGATTTAAGCATTAATAATCATAATTGCTAATGTGTGATTTGTATTGCGTATAGACACTATTCATATTTCCAAGCAAGTCGTCATTAATCATTTCCAGACTTACTATCAGTGTCTTTTTATATTAGCCAAGTGGTGAGGTTTACGTATTTTACCATAGTCGCACTGCGCTTCCTTGCATATTATAAACAGCTGTGACGAGTCTTGAGGAGAATAGGGTTCAGTGAATTTTAAACAACAACGAAATTCTGCCGGTGCGAATCTGGTGCGATATGATCTGATAGTGACCCAGTATATTCTAGTAGTGACTTACGATCAACATTTATAATTATAATCTGACAGAATTCATTTTTTAATGTTATGTTATATATATATAACAAATCTAAAACACTTTTAGTTTCTAGAGATTAATCAAACTCTTGATAATCACTTTATTTTTGATCTTGGAACATAACTCCGACGGATTCTGGGCCAACTACCGGCCGAGCGGTAAAGTCGCTGAACCCTGGTATTTCGGTTCAAGGTTCGAATCCCGCGAACGGGCTGTCTGCGTGGGTTTTTTCGTGATTTTTCCCATGTATATCGTGTATACGAGCCAGTTTCCCGTAGAAAGTACTCCACGAAGGCATCCTTCCCCATAGGGCTCGAAACTTTGTCATAATCACAAAAAAAAAAAAAAAAAAAACGACAGATTTTGTGGTTGAATAAGATCCGCATTTTGCTTTTCTTCTACAGCCGGAAGATATAGAATAGAAACATACTGTTTATTAAAATCTGTTTCATTAAAAGCATTTAAATACTATACTTGTTTATGAATCTAACGTAAGTCCATTTTGTGTATAGAGAAATGATTAAGCTTTTTTGTGTTTTCATAAAACTTGTTTTTGTAGTGTTTCAGTATCAAGTTATAGTGGAGACTGGTTGCGATCATGGGTTTTGTGGAGAAGCTTCAAATTCTAAATCTGGTTTCAATCCAGGTGTAATCAATCTTGAACTGAAAACGAATGAAGGGAAATTGACCAAGCTTAATATTGATGAGGAGTAAGTCAGTTTCCTTAAATATTTTTTTTTTTAAAATATTCTGTAACCAAAGTTTTTTAAAACCATTTTATTGACTATTGTTAATACAACAGCACTTCTAAGTCTGCACAATTTTTTAGTTAGTCACAAAAGTCTGCGTACAGACTAAATTTTAAATTAAAAAAAAACACTTATAGCATAGAAAAATGTATTTTAATCATTGCATTTTTTTCTTCTATTAGCTAAAACTGTAAGCTTAAATAAAAAGTAAATAATATCAGTGTAATTCCTTTTTACATTTTTTTCAAAAATATATTTTGTCAAAAAAACTCAGAAATTCCTTCCAATAAGTCTGCGTACACTTTCAAAAAAAATATATATATAAGCTTTTACATTACTTCAATACTTTGTAGGATATCCTTTATTCTTCAAAACAGCTTGCAGACCTCTGGGCATTAACTGAACTAGTTTTTCAGTGTCATCCGACGTAAATTTCGCCCATTCTTCCTGCAATTTACTAATTAGCTCATTTCGCGACGTAATATTGTGTTTTCGAATTCGTTTCTTCAATTTTGCCCACAAATGTTCGATTGGACTGAGGTCTGGTTACTGTGGAGGAGTACGCAACTGTCTTGGAGTGTGATAGAGGAGATATTCCTTCACAATTTTAGCTGTATGTTTTGGGTCGTTGTCTTGTTGGAAATAAAGGTATTAGAAAGGTTTAAATTTCGGGCACTGTCTCGTAGATTTTTCTTCAGAATATCCAGATAAACATACTTTATCCATGACTTTATCAATAATGGGAAAATTTCCAACTCCTTTCGACGACATACACCCTCATACCGTCACACCGTCAGCTCCATGTTTGACAGTTGGATTTAAATTTCTCAGATTCAGTTCTGTTTCTGGTTTTCTCCATACAATAGGGTGGCCATTAACTTTAAATATTGTAAATTTACTTTCATCTGACCAAATTAGATTGTTCCAGAAGTCCTGCGAAGAGTTTAAATATGTTTTGGCAAAAGCAATTCTTTTCTTTCTACTTGTCTCGGAAATGTATGGCTTAGACCTAGGTTTGCGTCCATGATAATCGGCCTTTCGCAGCACTTTTCGTACAGTTTCAGGAGAAATTTCCTTGTTGCTAGTTAAAAAATGTCTTTTGCAATGCTTGAAGCAGAAAGTTTAGGATTTTGTTTAATTCGTAAAAGAATTTTTCTTTCTTCTCTCTGCGTTAGCTTCTTCGGTCTCCCAAATCTTGGTTTTACCGCAAGACTACCAGTGTCAAGATAGTTTTGAATAACTCTTTGCACACTAGAAAATGGTTTTACCAATATAGCGAAGAGTTTTACCTTCATCTCTCAATTTGATAATTAGTTGTCTCGTAACTAAAGGAATCTCTTTATTGGTTGTCATTTTCGTCAAAGAAAATAGAAATAACAACTTCCAATCAACGTGAAATTTGCTTCGGAAGTCAATGACCTTGAATGTGTAACCTTCTCTGCATTCTCAAGTTTGAAGTTTAAAAGTTAGATAAGAAATCTCCCGCCTCCTTCGCGTTGTACGCAAACTTTATTGGCTTTGATTTCTGGCCACTTATCTTTTAAAAATTAGTGTGCATAAATTATTAGATATGAAAATATTACAGTTAAATAATTTCAAAGTCCCTTATTGAAACTAAATATTTAAAAAATAAAACTTTAAGAAACTACCCTTTTCGCACCTTAAAATTTGGATTTGATGTTACTTTTCTTGATGTACGCAGACTTTATTGACTAACTGTACGTAAATATCGACGGTGAAATTTGAATTCAAGAGTTAAAAAGGAGTTATAAATTAAGGCAATGTTTACTGGACTGCTTTTATATACTTCAAGTTGTTTTATAGCCATCATGCTTTGCGTAAGTTACATAGTAATACAGCTGTGATTTTGAATTGAAACAGAACATTAAGTATTCAAATAATTTGATTTAAAACGGCAGTCTTAATATTTTGTTTCTTTTTCTTTCGTAATCAGTCTCAGAGCTTCTAGAGTAATTTACTCCGGTACAAGATATTATCTGTCTGTATATCTCTTATTTTAATAAATTAAAACTAACGTTACCACTGAAATTAAATACCTAAGAAAATAGTTATTATATGACGTTTTTGAAAAAACAGGTACTTATCTGTTTGGAAAAAATCTCATTTCTTAATTCAGATGAAAACAGTACTTGCATCCCATTCATATACTAACGTTTTCTTCCGATCTGTACGCAGCGCTGACAAGAATATCAAACCAGAAGGACAATACGTCTACTTGGCAACTAGCCGATTTCCGATTGGACGAGTTAAAGACGCTAAAATTTGGTGGGGAGATACATCGAAACCTGAAGCTGCCGCCAGGCCTTCGCAATTTTCAACAGGCCTAAATCTGAGGAAAATACAAGTAGTTCCTATTGCTTTGCAAGATAAAATGTAAGTATTACATATGGATTTGTATATTAATAAATATCTTCATAAAGCTATTGGTCTCAGATTAATAAGTTTCTTTATACACTCCCATTAATTTTATTACAAAAATTAAACTTTTTACAAAATAACTTCCAAGTACTACTACTTTGGCACTTTTATTGTTTCTCAGGTTCTAATGTTCTAGTGTTCTAAGTTCATCAAACACTGATGAAAATTTAGTTTGGCCCTTGTTCAGAATGAAGTCGCCTGTAATCTAGTTTTAAGTGGAGCGCTTTGATTTGCAAGCGCAAGATTTTATTCCATTTCCTTACATTTTGTTTCATTTGAAATCTGCCGTGGAAGTTGTTTTACTTAGTTCTTCCGTTATAAATAGTAATTGAAAAAAATGCTTGTTCTACGTTTGGTACAGAAGAAAAAATGTACTATTGCATTTTTAATATGTTATTGTGCAATATTTTAAAGTAGTTTTTGAGTTTCTTAATATTCATGATAGCTTCGTCATTTGATAATTGCAAAGGAAATGTAATCCTCGGATAACTGCAAGATGTTCAGATTTTATTGAATAATAAGTAATCTTGTAAGCTTTTTCTGTCTCAACGCGTTTTTTCGGGGCGTAATTGGGAAGTATGTCTGGTTAGCAATCGGAATATCTGGAGTTCGAGTCCTTGCGAAGGTATTATATATTTTTTACGTTTCATGTTCGAAAAAGTCCTAATCACTTTACAAGCTGTTTGAAAGCTTCCGCGACTTTCTGAAAAATTTATAAAGAATATGAACCACTTCGTTCACCGAGCAGAGGCAATATCAATTAGATCAGAATTTTAACCTTTATTAAATAATAATATTGTTAAGGTGTGATGCACTTATTTAAAAGTTAGATGCAGCTTTCTACGAGTTCAGAAAACTCAATATAGTTTCAACAAGTTCAATCTAGTTTTCTGTCCATGATTTTTTTATAATAACTGATAATTTCCATATTAACATCACTGAAGATAATTTAGATTTATTGTAATTAAGTAAGTTGATTAATGCAGAAAAATACAGTATGGTTGTTTGATAACGAGACTGGTAAAAAACAAAATGCGGACAATATCAATTAAGAAATGGAAACAGATGAAAATTTCTTCGTGAACATAGCTACAGTAGAAGTGAATCTCAGAGTTGCTATTAGGGTGTGAAGTAAATGAAACCCAGACATGCATCGCGAAATGTCGGGTGGAAATCAACAGTCCTTAACGCCAGACAATTCCTTTATCAAAATAATAATAATAAAAAAAATATATTCCACAACAATTAAGGAACTGCGCACAAAGAATTTCTTGTATAGTGAAAAGGTGTTTCTGGTGAACTATAACGGATTTTCTGAAATGTTTGCGTTACAGAATACAATGTATGAAAGTCTCAAGTTCAATTGACGTTTATCGACTGTAATACTTTTTGTCAGACGACTCAATATGAGTACAGTGTTTGGTTAAAAAATCAATTCTGTCATTCTTATTTGTCGGACAATTTGGTGATCTACCTGGTGATAAATTATAACTTCTCAAGTGTTAAACTCTGAACTGCTTGTCCTGTAACCTAACCGCTGATCATAAGAATTTGTGTTTAGTATATAACCTATGTTACTGTTTAACTTTTTGAGGGACAGGAAAAGGCAATTAGCTTTTCAGCAAAACTCTTGTTTTATTTACTATATCAGGTGTTATAATGAAACGTGTTTTACGACATTTACGCATATTTTGTGCAAGACGCATGAAAAAAATGACTACTTCTGGTGGTTAGTCTCAGTAACCACCGCCCACAGAACACATCCCTACAAATCAGTCTCTATGGTATTCATGGAAACACTTTTCCTTTTTCAAGAAGAGTGCAACGTTGCATGTGCTGCATTCCCACACTGTTCTTACAGGCCTTTTTCTTGGTGCTGCAGAGTGCATATCGTCGTGAAGTTGTCTCCGATGGCAAATGCTTATTTTCTTGAAGACGAATCGCTGCATCAACTACTGACTTATGTTTCTTGATTTTCATCTAGTAAGCTACAAGGAAACTTCAGAAACGGTCAGTCTTGAAAACCACTCACACGAGTGAGTAAGACGTTCAATAGAAAAGGAGGTTACTGTAGGTCACCACCCCCTTTCAAAGAGTTAACTATGGATACACAGAATAAAACTTAGCACAAAACTTTGTCGCAATTAGGGGTAATAGAACTAAAAATAGTAAAGGATTAAATAATGTGACTTCTTCTTTCAATCAACAATTCTATCCAATCAATACTTTTTATCAATCACAGCGAGATGACAGTAAGCTAAGACTCCCAGGGATTACAACATAACCTATTCAGATTTGAAGCACCTTTTGGGGTTGGACGGTAACCAGCTAACTTTCTAACACTTTCTGAACTTTGGCGGTTCTTACATTTCTACTTGGCAAGTTGCTTTTTTCAGCAGAAGACAGTACATCGGCACGAATTCCTCTCAGTTAAGATTACATTTTAGGTTTAAACTACGCCATTTGCTCAAAAATTTGCATAAACTTCTGGTTTGAGCGAGTAACATGACAAGACAAAGCATATAGGAAAGAAACTAAAGTAAAGCTAAAAAAACTGTTAGTAGAACTTAAATCATAAATGGTAGTTATTTGTGAAGAGTGCTTTAATCGGCATTTCTTTAATCTTCCGAATACGAAATACGTTAATAACGCTTTCACCTTCTATCTTGACTATACGCGGGGAACGGTCTTATCGTGTCGGATAAGCTGAGATTTCCACTGCCATCAGTTTAACAAGAAGAACTGATATGAACTTTTTTACGCTTTTATGAATTTTGCACTCGTAGTCAGAGGGTTAATCACTTGGAAACAGTCATTATATGGTACTTAGCGATAGTGTGAAAGAGTGCATAGATTACCATTGTAGCTTAGTTTGAATAAATGAAAACTTAAGCAAATGGTTGTTTTTAAATCTTGCTCCAATCACCTTTTTATATTGTGTAATATATGCTAAACACAAAAAGCGTATATAGCGTAAATACTATAAAAACACAGAAAACTTTAAAAAAAATTAATTTTTTTTGTTATTTTTCCAGCTTTATTGATGAGTAATTTAAGTAAAAATTAAACTTTAAAAAAAAATCATGTTTCAAAATTTGCATTATTAGCTGAGATTCAGGGGCAAATTTATTTAAAATCGTTCATTTAAAATATATTTATTTTAATTTGAAACAATTACTGTATTCTTATGCCTAAATAATATAAGCTTCTTAAACATGTTTTACCTGAAGTTTTATTTCGGAATATAGATTTGAGTTTAAACTTTCATTTTACAGTTTTACTTTTTTATGATCAGTATTTTATTTCTTTTGGGCTATAACACTGTACTTAATAAATTAAAAGCATTATTTATTCCCTTATAGCGAAAAATATTTTCTGTTTTAATATGTATATAAATACAATATTTTTTAAATATTTTTAAAAACTCTTGCAGTGATAGACTTTCTGAACCACAGCCAATAGTTTTATGTGGATCTCCTGATAAGACAATCGGAAGAAATCGGTACTTGGAGCTGAGTGTCAATGAATGCTGATTTTATCTATGCAAAAATGTGGAAAATATTTATATGTTTATGAAAATCGACATGCCAAAAATTTGAAAAATTTATTGTGCATCTTCACGTAATAAGAATCACAAATGTGGTTCCATGTTAATCCATATATTACCATATTAATCTGAAAATCAGTGATGCAAAATGCACATATATCACATTCTACTGGAATATATCTGGTAATTTATTGAAGTTATTGTGCTTTTGTTGTACATATTTAAAACTCATTCGTATGTAAAAATCCTGTGTATATATTTTTAAAAATATTATATGTATATTATTTATGAGGAAATAAAGCTGGGCTTGTACTTGAGTATTATTCAGTTCGTTATTTTTCATATTTAATAAGCATTCCTATTTATATTGTAAAATAAAATTCAGAAATTTATGCTACAGATTTCAAAGCTTTGTTGAATAAGCTAAAATTTGTGTCAGATAAGTTAATTACATTACCCTCAGCTGAAGATGAAGTTTGATCTCATGTTCATATTGTAGCGTTTTTCTAACGGGTTGGAGGGAAAGTTCTGTCGTATTTTAAATAGGCATGGGATTTTTCTTGTAAATAAATAAATAAAAAAAAAAAAAATCTGGCTAGTGAGTCAATCGGATTTTTTTTGTTTTTGTTTTTTTTAGCTGCTGTATAATATAAAAGGTGCCCTTTTTTACCGTTAATCATTTACTTGTAATATTTAAAGGGAAAAACATGTCGGTAGATAAAGTGCATTTACGACACTGCATTTTATATGAATTCCAAAAAGGAAGCAACGCATCTGTTGCATGTAAAAATTTATGTGCGGTATTTGGAAAAGATATTGTAAATGTTCGTACTTGTCAAAGATGGTTTAGCAAATTTCGTTCCGGGGACCTGAGCCTCAAAGAAAGAAAGTGTTCGATCTGGACGACCATGCAAGATCGATAATGATGTTTTGCGATCCATGTTGGAAATAATCCACATTTAACAAGTCGAGAAATTGCAGAAGAGTTTGGCATTCATCATACACTGTTGGAGATCACATTTAAATCTCTTGGGTTTGTGTTAAAGCAAAGTGTTTGGGTCCACATGAATTAACGGAAAAGAATTTGTCTGATCGTGTAAGAATATGTTTCATCACATCTGATTAGACACAATGTGGAGCCGTTTTTGGACAGGCTGGTTACTGGAGATGAAAAAGTGGATCTTTACGAGAATATTAAAAAGAAAAAATCTTACTGCAAACCGGGAACATCATCAGCAACAGTTCCAAAACCAAGTATCCATCAACGAAAAGTACTGCTTTGTTTGTGGTGGGACAGGAAAGGTCCAGTGTATTACGAGTTGCTGAAACAGGGAAAAAACATTCAACGCGGATCTGTACTGCAATCAGCTGGATAAATTGAATGCAGCTATCAAAGAAAAAAGGCCAGCATTAGCGTCCAGAAAAGGAATAGTGTTCCATCACGATAATGCTCGCCCGCATACTGCAGTGGTGACACTACGAAAACTGAATGCGTTAGGATGGGAAGTCCTTAGTCACCGCCCCGTATTCACCTGACATTGTGCACCTCGCTGATTATTACCTGTTCAGATCTCTGCAAAATTATCTAACGGGAAAAAAATTCAAGTCTTTTGAAAGTGTTTCTAAGGCAATTGCTGACTATTTTAACTCCATGGATGATAACTTCTACAAAACAGGAATTTACAGGTTACCTGGAAGATGGCAACAGGTTGTAAAAAATAACGGAGCATATATAATTGATTAATATTAAACACATATTTTTATAAATGAATTCAAATATTTTCTTTAAAATACGACAGAACTTTCCCTCCAACCCTATACTTCTGACACCAGCTGTTACATTATTTTCTTCCTTCACGACGGTACGGAGTTTGTAGATTTTGGAGTGAATAACGACGGCACTTGATGAAGTATCGAAACACACTTTATTTAGACAATATTAATCAGGACAGCTCCAAAGTCACGTTTTACAGTCGTCGAAGATCTACTATACACTTGCTGGAACTATCAGCGACACAGCTTTCAGGTTATCAGGCTATAAGGTGGAGACAGCTTCAGTGCAAAGCACCAGAGTACAGCTCCCGACTCTGCTCAGTCATTCTCGGAACTCCACGTAATCTCGAGACTCTCCACGCTACAACTCGCGATGCACTCGACGGCACACAGAGCATAGCTCCTGACTCTTCGGTTCAGTCGTTTCCGGAGCTTAACACACTCTCTCGACGATGCACTAACCGCGATACACTAAGAGACTCTTTCGGTGCATTCGACGACCCACTCGGCACTCGCTGCCTGGCTGTCAACTCGATCGAATCCGCAGGGATTGACTCGCTAGACGAGACACCAATTCGATACTAACTATCTCGCACTGTATGCGAGGCACACACACTGACTCGAAGGCGAGGAACTCACTGACTCGCCCTCTCGAGGAGACACTCACTGACTGACTGCGGACCAGCAGGGTTTATATAGCTTTCGGCTTGTGTTCGAAAACTTTCTGATCTAAACCGGTAAGAATTCATTCCAAAAGGTCCATGGCATATCGCCAATTTTGTCGCCAAATGGGCGATTTCTCGCCAAAATGTGGCAACTCTAAAACTGCTTTGCGGGGAAGCCATCTTACCGCGCCTGTACAATTCGTAACAATATTTTTGTCTCGATATTTAATAACATCTTGTGGCCTTTACTCTTAGTCAATTTAATTTACAAGAACATTTGTAAAATGGTCATTTAACTTGAAGTGACGGTTTACAGAGTTATCCATTATTATCCAAACTAATCGTAACTGAAAGTATTGTGATGCTTCTTTGGCGATAATAAGCAACTCCAATGATGGAACACAGCAATAACTTTTATTTAACACTAAAAATGGCGACATACAAACAAGAAGAGAAAACATATTCTAACATTTAAAAAAAAAATTACATTCTTCGTGCGAGAGTCGCACGAGGCACTCGAGTCTGGTTTCAAATATTACCATTCAGAAATAACTTAATGTTCATCTATTTAAAGCTGTTACAACCTCTCCCCCAACGGAGAGACTTTTTCCGAAGGGAAAAGTTCTGTAAAATTTGACAGTTTAATAAGCTCGGCTTGCTCATTTGCTTAAAGAGCAAAGGTTATTTCTCTTATAAATTTCCAAATTTCAGGCCAAAATTTTAAAGTTTTAAACAAATATTTTTATACCACATTTAAGTAGAAAAAGATGCAAAATGGTCAAATTAGTCTTCCTTTTTTCCTTGACGGCGCCTAGATTTTTTCCATGGTGGACCAGTTCCTCGGCTATAATTCACAGCAAAGCATTTCCTCGGTTCATCTGTGCCTTTTGGATAATATTCATTTCTCATTTGCTTTCGACAATTGTTTTCTTCGTCTATTAGTAGCGGCTTTGATATTAAATCAAAAGCCGAAAGATGATGATAACGCTGCATTGCAAAATGATTCTCAGTATTAATTTCTTCATCGTTTTTCAAATTTTCGTGAAAATCTTCCACGTTTAATTCCGGTGATTTAACTTCCTCTTCAAATACATCTCTGGATGCTTTATTTTCTTTCTTCATCGGTTCCAAGATCTGCTCTTCAGCTATTTTTCTTTTCCTTTGAGCTCTAGTAGAGACGGCATTAACCTGGTGAGGATGCCTATTAGGTTTCTTTCTTTGTTTATTCAATAGTGCAAAAGTTCGATTGCCTAATAAATACCTTCCCTTGTCGAGTTCATTTCTAATAATGGCAGCCTTAGTTATTACTCGTCCAAGATCGCAATGTAGTTCGATCTCAGCCAATGGTAAACAGGTTGGATTCAAATCTAATGGCTGTTGCACCCACACATTTTCACCTGTCAGCATTTCCGGCGTGATGTATTTGCGACAAACTATATCAATACTAGCACCTGAATCCCTTAATATAGGAATTTTATGACCATTTACGTAACCCATACTAGTATAAGGTAATAGAAATTTATCCTCTGGTTTTGCACTAATTCTGTTAAGATTAGCAGGAGATTCAGTACTATTCTTAAGTTTTGGACATTGGGGCCTTAAATGTTGATAGGACCCACACTGATAGCATTGTGGCGTCTTTCGTTTTTCATATTTATCATATGGACGTGGACTTCTAGGTCTATGAAACAAGCTTTTGCGTATTAAATCCTGATGACATTTTGTTTTCAGTTTTATTTTTATTATCTGAACTCAATTTACCTTGAGTTAGTGCATTGTATCTTTCTTTCTGCCTATCCACTACAGGCTTTTTTTTAAAGTTTCCGCAAACGTTTTCATAGGCATCAAGTTTTTCAGCTAATTTTTTAGATGAAATCATCTCTACCCACTCATCAAGAAAATGATCTCGAATTTCAGGAGGAACTCGAAGCTTAAGTTGGTCAATCACCATCAAATCTAGCAACTGATCAAAAGTCTTAACTCCTAGACCAGTCACCCATTCCTTGCAATAATTTTCTATTTCATAATTGAAATCCACCCATGTGGATTCGGTACTTTTTTGATGTTTCATAAATTTCTGCCTAAACTTTTCCGGGCTTAGTTTAAACCGTCTTAACAATAAATTTTTCACGTGTTCATAGTCTTTAACTTTATCGGAGGGTTCTCTAGCTATTAACTGGGTTACTTCGTAAGGAAGTAGTCCTAGTAGTAATGAGATACAAATTCTTCTTTATCAATTTTAGCCCATTCTGCTTGCCTTTCAAAACAATAGCAAATATAGACTGATATCTCCTTTCTTGTCATCGAATTTCTGCATAAGGTGACGCAGCTCCGTTTTCGGCCGGATCTGTCCGGTATTTTGAGACTTTGTCTCTGCTTCAAGTCTTAATCTCTCTAATTCATACGTTCTTTCCTTCTCCGCTCTTCCGCTTCTTCTTCCTGTCTCCTACGTTCTTCTCTTTCCCTTTCCTCCCTCTCTTTCCGTTCTTCTCTTTCCTCCCTCACTTTCCGTTCTTTTTCTTCTATTATTGTGTCTAAGACTCCTCCTTTGACGAATACTTCATCATAATCTCTACTTTCAAAACAATTTTCTGTTTTAAATCGACTATTTTCAAATCTGCAGTCACATGAACTCCCAGTTTCAGCCGCGAGATTTTGCAAATCTTCCTTACGAGCTCTTCCTAAGTAAGACATTGTTTCTATGTTTTAAAATTAACGAACACTGTTTCTTTATATTTCCTCAAAATAGCTCAATTCAATACTTTAATTAATTAATGCAGTCAGGAATCACGAAATTAAATGCAACTTTGTTAAGTACGTATACCTCAAAAATGAAATATTTAAATTATATGAAGTTCATTCTCTCTAACCACATTAAT